AATTCTTAGAGATGACAATGAATAAATGATCATAAAAGACATATTGGTAAATTTGAGCTCATCAAAAATTTTTAAAAGTCTCTAAAATAACTTTGTTCTGCTACCAGTTAAAAAGACAAGCTATTGATTAGGAAAAATTATTCCAGACTACATATTTGACTAAGGACTTTTATCTGAAATGTATAAAGAATTCTCAAAACACAAGGGTTAAAAAGCTAATAGTCCAATTATATGGGAAAAATTCCCCACATGTGTAGACATTTGGCCAAAGAGGCCATATGGATAACAAATAAACACAGAGAAAGATATTCAATATCATTAGTCATTAGAAATACAAATCAGAACCACAACAAGGTATCCATACCTATCAGAATGACTAAGAAATAAAAAGTAGTGATACAATCAAGTGGTTGTGAAAATGTACAGAAACTGGACTACTCATACATTGCTGATAAGAATATAAAATGATACAGTCAATCTGGAAAACAGTGGCAGTTTCTTATGAAACTAAACATGCTATCTCTTTTCAATTTGCATTCAAAGCAGAAGTTACACTCTTGGGCTATTATCCTAGAGAAATGAAAATGTATGCTCATACACAAACCTGTACATTAATGTTCATGGCAGCATTATTTGTAGACGACAAAAGCTGAAAGCAACCCAAGTACCTGTCAACAGGCTGAAAGTTAAGCAAACTATGGTACATCCATACAGCGAATGGCCATCAAGCAATTAAAAAGAAATGAACCATTGATATGCACAACAACTTGCATGCATTTCAGGGCATCATATGGAGTAAAAAGGAAGTTTCAAAAGGTCACATACTACATGATATCATTTAGATAGCATTCTAGAAATGAAAAAAATTTAGATATAGGAGCTGATACCAAGGGCTTAAGTGGAGGGCAAATATTTTGAGAATGATGAGGGCAATGAATGTACAAATGTGCTTGACATAATTGATGTATGTATGGATTGTGATAAGAGTGGTATGACCCCCCCCCAATAAAATGATTTCAAAAATTAGATATAGGGCATAGATTAGTGGTTACTAGGGGTTACAAATGGTGGGACGAATGAGATAGAATGTTTGTATGAGGGGTACCATGAGAGAGGTCTTTGGGGTGATGAAACCAGTCTATCTTTCTATGCACATGAAAAGATGGAACATGTCTACAGTTCTATACATGTGACAAGATGGATGCGATAAAATGACATGAGATTATATAGACACTTTATACCAATGCCGATTTCCTACTTTTAGTATTGTTACTAAAGACAAAGTATAATTACTGGAAAAACCTAGGTGAAGAGTACACAGCACCAGCTTGCACTATCCGTGATTTTATAATAATTATTTTAAAAACCAATCAACCCCACTCCCTTCAGTGACCCTGTACAGCAGAAGAGTTTCCAAGAAAGAGTAGAAAGCCCTATCTTTTTCCCAAGACATGACCACTGCCCCACTCGGGCTCCTGTCTCAGTGGGTGTCATGAACTCCTAGCAAGCAGACCCTGGAAGAAGCCTACGTCTGGTATTCCTTGGTCCCTGTTTTAGTACTGAGGCACACCATCATCGGCCACTTCTTGCACTTATTTGGACATCACATCATAGTTCCAAAGATCGCCTCCAAGTTCCCTGACAGCGGGACCAGATTTCCATGACTGAATCCTCGCTCACCCTCCATGGATCCCCTCATGTAGAATCCCTAAAAACAAACAAACAAAAGCAAAACCTAGAGTCCATTAAGGACTCATAGGAGAAGGTAGAACTGCCCCTGTATGTTTCTGAGACGGTAAGTCTTCATGCCAGTAGAAGTCCTATCTTTATCCTGTGGAGTGGCTTGTGATTTCTAACTGCTGACCTTGAGAATCGCAGTCCAGGGCATAATCACTAAGCCACCGGGGCTCCTACAGAATCCCTAAATGCTTATTATGCTTTTTAATTATATAATAATATATGATAAATGTAATTGTAACTGGTGAAAATGTATTCATGCTTCCATTATTTCAAAGTTGTTTTGTAGACATTTTTCAACTTTGCATTAATAGTAATGTCAACATTAATCATAATGGAGCCGAAGCCCTTTTCTATTGCTCGTCTTTTCTTTTGAAGACTGCTTCAAAAGATATCATCGATATCAAAGAGTTATTGATATCGGGTCACATACACTAAGAACCATAATAGAGTATCTAAAATTTGATCAAATCAGTGACGATGAAAACACCAGCAGCAACAGAAACAAGAGCGTCTGCTTGTAGCATGAACAGAACACATGTGATCTGAAGCATCGTTGTCATTGTCATTGAGTACTAAAGACAGCTCTCACGAGAGCAGTAAGAGGTTCAAATAATACATTGGAATAGAGTTTTATCCTTCTAAGTATATTGATACATATAAGTTGTGCTTACAAAAATGTGTTTGGTGTTGGAACTCGCCACAGCAATATTTTATAGAAATAATAAATTTAGGCAGAACCACCATACACAAATTTTATACACACTCATTTTAGTGTCACAGTAGCATAGTGGGTTACACTTTGGGCTGCGAGCTCCCAGGCCAGCAGTTTGAAACCACCAGCCACTCTGCAGGAGAAAGACAGGACTTCCTCCCCTCTAAGGAGTTACATTCTCGCAAGGGTGGCAATGACTTGGCAGTGAATTTCATTTTGGGGGATTCATAGTGTGAGAGTGGGGTGCCAAAGCGCTTGTGAGGCTGGTCTGTGAAAGAGAACTGCTGTGTAGGAAGTTGTGGTCTAGGCTCACAGTGTTGAAAGTGTTGAAAGAGACCATCCACCTCTGCGTGGAGTATCCCTGCCAGTTCCTGCAGGCTGTGGCCCCGACTGCTCTTTGTTTACATGATAGGCTTGGGTTTCAGAGCAGTTCTGAGGGATGAGCTGTCATCTATCTCCACAAACAAGAAGCAAAGTTGGCAAATGTTCTCAACTCAGTTTCTGCAACGCAAACCTGCTATACCTAAGTTGTCCATCTGGGCCCCTCTGTGCTGCTCACTTAGGACTTACTGGGCCATAAGTAATAAAGTATTTTGTCTCAGGACTTTGGTGTTCCTGAAATAACTATCAGTGTGGGAGACATTCAGCAATAGATATGTTGAATGGAGCAACTTACCCTAGAGTCTCCTGTTGTCTGCCAGCTTCCATTAGTCTGTGGTAGGCTCATTTTTGTCTGTCCACTATTATGTTTTTACCTTTACCACCTTAGGGCAGTTTTGTTTTCTGTTGGGTCTCCCAGCTGTGATGTACTGAAGGAGTGGATGCATAATGAAAATAATGGATACAAAGGGGTATAGAGAATATAGAGGTGGGGGAGGTAGAGATAGGGAGGGAGAGGTGATTTGGGAGTAATTAATGAAGATGGGTGGGTGGGGGGAAGGAACATTAAAATGGACTATGATTGCATGAAGTATCTTAAAGGTGATTTAACCATGGGGGAGGGAGAATGCTCTAAAACAGATTTGGAGGTGATTGTAGAACTTTCCAGGATAATGACTAAAATTTTCAGGGGTCCTCAAACTTTTTAAACAGAGGGCCAGTTCACTGTCCTGCAGATCCGTTGGAGGGACAGACTATAGTTTTTTTAAAAAACTATGAACAAATTCCTCTGCACACTGCACATATCTTATTTTGAAGTAAAAAACAAAATGGGGCAAAAACACCCGGCGCGCCAGATAAATGTTCTCGGTGGGCTGCATATGGACCCCTGGACTAAATGATCGAAGTATTGAATTATGTGATCTCTAAATTACTTGTGAGTAAAACTGCTGGGTGGGGGGAGAAAGTAGGACCAAATCTCAGGCCTGGACAGAGTGGGGTTTGTAGATAGTGTGTTACTCTGTGCCAGCCTTCAGTCTCCAAAAAGAATGGCGCTCTGTTGATTTGGCATCTCTTCCTGAAAGGGCTTTCTTGCCTTGTGGTGATGAACTGTTCCCTTACTTTATAGTCACCTGGTTCCTTCCGTAGCCTCTAGGTGATTATTCACCCCTAAATCACCGCTTAGGGATTAAATTCAGGTCCTGACACTGCCAAATGATGGGCTTCTTTAGAACTTACCCATCTGTCTGCACAGCCAGCTCTGTATCGGTCTACTTGAGAGTCCTCATCTGGATCAGCACTGATTCCATCTGTCTGCCTATTGTCCCTCAGGCCTGCCAGGCAAGGAACACACAGGCAAATGGGGCAGGGCTGGAGGGAGGTCAAGTGCGTTGGCCCCTGTGCATTCTGAGGGTTTTTACTCATTCTCCAAAGTTGCTAATTATTTTAGCAACACACACACACACACACACACACACACACACACACACACACACACGAGAAAGGCAAAGCCATCGGGCATAGAAGTGAGAGGATGGTTTAGGTTTGGGCCATTCTACTCCAACAGGTGTGACCTTAGGCAAGTTGGGTCACCTCTTTGAAAATCGGTCTTCCTTGTCTATGAATGGAGCCTGTTGCAGTGGATTAGCCACACTAGGGTTGTTGTAGCAACATAGCGTAGCATCTAGCGTGTGGCTGGTCCCACAGTTGCCTCCAAGTACTTCATCTTAGGATCATAGTCGCCAGAGGTAGAAGTGTGGACCGGAGTAGGAGGCTATAACCAGACTTAGATGAAAGGAATACTAGAGGAGTGCAGGACCTCAGACAGGCCCTCGGGAGGCGGACCTCAACACTCACCTCTATAATTATTTGGGCGTCTCATAGATGGTAGATAAAGCAAACTTAGTGACACCCGGAAATTCAGTAAACCCTTTATTGCTTTAATCACTGCATGTTGTTTTTGGTCAATCGTGTTGAGACGTTGCTCACAAAGCCCAGGGCACAGGAAGGATAGCTTTTTTTTTTTGGTAGAATAGCTTTTTACACTCTTTTCTTCGGTCTTAGGTGACACCTCTTAAGATCTTTAGGCAAAATGGAGATAAATCACGACACAGGGTTTTCATATTTTACATTTTGAAATCACTCTAATTTCTGGGTGTTCTGAAGCTGTCTATAGCTCACTTTTGGAGTGGGGCCTTTTCTGGTTTCTGGTATTCTTTGCCAAATCCAAGCGCACAGCCTCTTGGATGCTCTGTGCGGCCCTGAGTCCTGATTTGATGGCGGTGTCAATCCAGCCATGAGGCAGGGTTGTGTGCTCACCAGCAAAATGCACCCGCCCTTCGGGCCGGCAGAGTTCCTGGGCATAGTCCACATACTGGTAAGGAGTGAAGAAGACAAAGCCTCCCATGGAATAGGGGTCCTGGCTCCAGTGCTTGACTGTGGAGTACGGGCACAGGGCCCGGATCTCCTCTTTGGGGCGATTATGGACTGAGGCCAGGTCATCCAGGACAACCTCTACCACCCGAGCATGATTCATGGCAGTGAAGAACGCGGAGTCGTCATCCAGGGTATAGGACCCCAGGATGACTCCTGTGCCGTTGGGGAAGACGTGGTTGGGGTAGTATATGAATCGAGAAGGCCGGTCAGTGATGGACTTGCATCCAAAGATGCCATCCTGCTCCCAGAAACGCTGTGTACAGGCCAAGATCACTTTGGTGGCACTGTTGTAGTGGACGGAACGCAGGGCATCTTCTTTGTCAGGGGAGAGGGGTGGCCGGAAACGGAGGAGCCGAGCAGCCTTGGCAGTGCTGGCCACAATCACATAGTCTGCAGTCAGGCGCTCTTTAGGGCGAAGTGGGTCAGATGTTTTGTAGGTGATGTGGACAAGGTCACCAGATGTCTCCACCTCCTCTGCTGGTGAGTAGAGAAGCACCGTCCCAGGCAAGAGGGAGTCTTGCAGGGCCCTAGGGAGCTGATCAAAGCCCCCGACGATTTCATCAAACCTGAGAAGGGCAGGCAAAGGAGGTTGAAGCAAAGAGTTGATTGAAAAGACCATGGAAGGGGAGGCCATTTGAAATGGACAGAAGCGTGCGTCTCTAGTGAACACTGGCCCTGTGTGCTAGAGAAGCAGTTGGCAGGAAGGGCCACCAGGGAAAGTGGCCATTAGCTATAGAAACCCTGGTGAAGTCCTCTCCTCTGTGAGTCCCTGGGCAGGGTAAGCACATAGGACTGCTACTCAGAAGTGCCTTGACAGGAAGGCCTAGCAATCTACTTCCCCCCAAATTATTCATCGGTACTATTTGGGGGCACAATACTACTCGAGTACATAACACACGAGGTCAGCAGGAGGTGGAATCCACTTGACGGCCACTGCTGTTTGTTTTGTGGCTTCTGGGAGGTGTAACCACTTGCAAGAAGTCCTTGGATGGAGGAGTGAAAGCATAATGTATGGGTTGTGATAAGAGCCGTAAGAGCCCCCAATAAAATTATTTAAGACGAATAAAATCAGAAAAAAATAACTGATACAAGGGTATCTGGGGAATATATAGGTGGGGGTGGGTGATAGGAAGGGAAAGGGGATTTCAGGGGTAAATAATGAAGGCAGAAGGGGAGTGAGCATCAGATGGGTTGTGATTGCACAACTCATTTTAAAGACGATATAACCATGGGGGCATTGAATGCTCTGAAATTAATGGGGTAATGATTGCACAATTTTCCTTGATATGATTGAACGATTGAACTATTGAATTGTATGATATGTAAGTTATGTATCAATAAAACTGTTGGCAAAAAATTAGTTCAAAAAATAATATTAGTTATTAGTTCAAAAAATATTAGTTCAAAGAAAGAAAAAAAAACCATGGATGATACAAATCACAAATGCTAAATTTTTAGCCAAAAGGTGGGCAGTTGAAATGCCCCCAGAAGTGCCGTGAAAGAAAGCTGTGGTGCTCTGCTTCTGAAAGACCACTGTCTTGAACACACCCTGGAGCCCAGATCTCCTCTGGACACGTGCTGTTTCCAGGGGTCAGAATCCACTCATTGGCAATACCAGCAACCCAGCTCCTTGCTAGAGTGCGCAAGCCTGGACAGTGGGCTGTGAGCTGACCCATAATCACTCCTTTCTGGTCTCTGTGGGTGGTCACCTCTATGCAGGGGCCCAGGACGGACAACTCCTGGGCAGGCAAAGACCATGAAACTCATTCCCTTCTACACAGTGCCCAGGAGAGAACCTAGCAGCACCGGTACAACCTTCATTCTACTGTGATTGCTGACAGGTCTGTCTTGGGGAAGTCCCTTCCTTACGCTGGCTTGTGGTTTGCATTTACACTGATTTACCCTGAATAAGAGTCCCTGGTTGTCACAAACAGCTGAGAGCTTAACTGCTTCATGAAAAGTGGTGGTTCCAGTCCACCCAAAGGTGCCTCAATTTATTTCTGGGGGGGAAAAAAAGCAAGCCTCACGGAGCATAGTTTTACTCTGAGACATGTGCAGTCACCATGAGTTGGAATTGACTCTTGGGTCACTTGTGATACCCTGACTCTGAATAAAAATGCTGGGTGGGAGCTGGGGCCGTGTGACCCACAGAGTATCCTGCAGGACAAAAAGAGGACCAGACCAAGAACTGCATGAATCAGCCCCTCAGCCTGTCAGGGTTGCCAGCCTTTATTTGGCCTCTCCCAAATGCCTGCAGCCTGTTCGAAATGTTCTTACGAATGCTAAGGAAAATCATAGCCCAGTGGATTGCTTCTTTCCAGTCCCAGAACATGTGACCACTGGCACATCTTTCCAGGATAACATCCAATAAGGTCTCTGCAAAACCTCCCGGAGCAGAGCTGTACTGCTGCTTTTCAAAATGGGCGAAGAGGCGAGGCCGAGAGTCAAGATCTGCAGGCTCTAGAGGGGATAGCTGAGGGTTCTCAAAGTGGGATTCCCATACAGACATCCTTAGCAGCCTCCCTGGAAGTGTTAGAAAGGCAAATTCTCAGGCTCAACCCCAGATCTTTCTATTGAGAATGTGTGGGCCTAGGGCCTAACAATCAATGTTTCAGGAACCTGTGATTCTGATGCATTCTGGTGCTGGACAACCTGTGCCTTCAGTGGGTCCTTATCTGAGTTTACCTAGTCCTGCTGCTGCCGCTGGGGTTAGTCACTGACCAGCCCAAGCCCATTCTTTCCTCCCTGCTCCCCATTCCCACCGAGGCTCCTGGTTGAAGGAGATGACAGCACGGAGAGTCTCTGTGAAGGCTTCATAGTAGCCGGCGTCTGCATTCAACAGGTCCCCAATCATCTGCACAGCCCCACGGCTCAGGTTGCCCACCTTTATCAGGTACTCCTGTGAGGTGTGCAAGGAGAGAAGGCAGGCCGGTCAGAATGCTTGGAGTGGGGCAGGGGCAATGTGTGAGAGACAGTGAGGTGCAGAACTGTCAAGGAAACCCTATCAAAGTGTATTGCTTCTTTCCAGTCCCAGTGTCCGGCAGGAGTGGCAGAGCACAGGGCACGCTCAACAAAGTACCCAGAGGCCACTGGGTTTCTGCTTGGCACACATGCCCCTGTGGAAGGTGCTCAAAATGCACTTCTCAGACTTGTTAAAAAGGAAAAGAGCCCTCTCTGAGTGCCAATGTTTTGAGCCCTTTACATTGATTTACCTGTATAATTTCCATATGTAATGCTAAGAAGTCCAGTTGACCATGGAACAATGCAGGGTTGGGAATGCTGATCTCCCATGCAGTCTGAAAATCCATGAAACATTTACAACTGGTCCTTGAACACCATGAGTTTGAACTGTGTGGCCCATTTATAAATGGATTTCCCCCCTTTGTTGATATGGCTGATGAATTCAAATGATGCAGCTGCTTAACATGTCAGTTCATCTCTTCATCGTCTTCATGTATCTCCTCCATATGTGGAAGAGCTACTCACATGGAGATGATCAAATGGAGGTGTTTTAAGTCATGTTTGAAACTCCTGTGCTCACCTCAGTAGCAACAGGGGGAAAAGTCTGCATATAAATGGGCCGGCCACACAGTTTAAATATGTGTTGCTTACATGTCCACTGTAGTTTTACACTTGAGGAAATAGAGGTCCAATGTCCACATGCACGAGCAGACATATTGGGATGATCTTCTCTGCCCTGCCCTGGGAGAGTGGTCTCTTCATGCCAAATGACGAAGAATCTAGGTACCAAGTATTCCTTCCCATCCTGGCCCCAACCCCACTCCTCCTACCCTCCAACAGCAAGTGACTGAGGTTTGCTTCCTGAGTACCCATCCAGCCAGAGTCTACCATCCCTGTCCACCACCCTGGCTCTCAGGCAAGGCCAGCGGGGGCATGAAAAAGTTGGTTAGGTTGACTCGTGTTCTTCACAGGACTGAGGGGCAGAGGGAACATCTTCTATACCCTTAGCAGAGTTATTCTCTTTTCACCGTCTGGGTTGGCCATCTGGATTACAGGCAGACGAAGGCCTCTCTGTTAGTAGGTTGGGCAAAACCTCTTGACTCAACAGCCTTCTTTAAACTAGAAAACAAGACCATCTCTCTCACTGCCATTGACTCAATCCTGAATCATAGCAACCTGTAGGGCCCCAATATCTCAGGAAGAGCAGCATTGACAATGAGTGATTGGAGTGACATTGGGATAGAAAGCCTTCAGCCTGGACAAGCAGGCTCACTCCTCAGTGAGTGGCACACTGCTCAGTGAGTGGAGAGAATGTGTCTTTAAGGTCAGGGGTACAGCTAGGTCCTTGAGCTCCCTGTTTTGCCAGTACCTGTATTTCCGTTCCCTCTCTCCCTTCCTTCTGATACATTGAATACTCAGATATTGGCCAGACCACATATAGAAATAGAACTTGGGCCCATCAACTACAGCAACCAGTCCAGAAAACTGAACTGTAACTTTAGCTGTCTATCAAAATTGGTCAGGGTTTTGTCAGTACCTGCCAGCTTCCCTCACCCCAGCCCTCACCTCTCCATCGCCTCACTAGGAATTTCAGATCAGCTAGAGAAAGCCAGGTATGCTCCCCCAACCAGTCACATAGGATGCCCCGATTCTGATTCTCGGTAACCTTCCTGTGGTCTCCATGCCAACACCCTCCACTCAGAGCCCAACGAGCTTTCCCTTTTCTACCATAAAGCTTTCCACTCCCATGTCTCTCTTGGAGGCTCTACCAAATGCAAATTGTGTGGCTGACTCCCTCACTACACAAGCTGTGAATAAGAGGCCTGGTCTCACCGGGGTTACTAATGGCTTCTTTAAATAAGAAGGCAAGACCATCCCTTGCTCACTACCGTTGACCCAATTCCAGCTGCCCTTCGAGAAAGACAAGGCTCTCTGTTACTGTAAACAGGCACAGTCTTAGGAAATGCCATATCGGGTCACAGGGAGTAGTCACGTTTACTAGACAGCAGTAGCTTTGATACTGAGGCAATCTTCCCAATTTCACTCCTCCTTTTCGCTTTCCCTCTTCCTGCTTCTCTTCCTCTTTCTCTCCCCCTTCATTCTTTGTTTCATCCTTTCTCCCTTCCTTCTATAATTATTTGCTGACCCCCTCAATACACAAGCTGTGAATAAGTAGCCTCACTAGAGCCCTGGTGGCATTATTTATGTGTCAAGGAGTCCAGGTGGTGTAGTGAGCTGTATGTTGTGCTGCTAACTGCAAGGTTAACAGTTTGAAACCACCAGCTGCTCTGTGGAGGAAAGATGAGGCTTTCTACTCCCATAAATAGTGACAGTCTCTGAAACCCACATTCACAGTTCTACCCTGTCCTATAGGGTTGCCATGAGTCATACTTAACTCAATGGCAGCAAGTGTGATTTTGTAGTTTTGGGTTATTTATGTGTCAGGCACATAAATAGACACAAAAGCCTTGCAAACATTTGCGCAGATAAAATGGCTCTTTTCGTCATGGAACTTACATTTTAGAGGAGCCAGACCAGAAATGAACAAGCAAATTAATGCGCACCAAGAGAGAAAGACAGGGCTTTGTGTTCCCATAAGACAGTTACAGTGGCAGAAACTCACAGCGTGGTCTTACCCTGTCCCACAGGGTGACTACGAGTGGGCATCAAGTTGATGTCGTGAGTGCGGTTTGGTTTCTAGAGTGGAGGAAAATCAAACAGGCAAAAGAAGATCGGAAGAGACTTCCAAAGTGAAGAGAGGGGGGTTTCAGTTCAAGAGGACATCTGGACAGTGACCTGAAGAAGACAGGGGCCAGTCCTGGGGACATTTGGGGAAGATCTCGTGGGCAGAGAAAGCAGCCATTGCAAAGGCCCAGAAGACAGATCGGACTAGATGCAGGGAAGAAACAGAGACACCAGTGTGTCTGGCACAGGCGAGCGAGAACAGGAGGACTTGTCTCTCACTCTTGAGGTGCCCTGAGCCATGGGAAGCTTTCGAGCAGACATGGTGGCTTCAGCGCTTCTCCTCTGACCGGGCTGGGGAGAGGTTTCCACGCTAGGAATAACACCTGTAAGACTGGCCAACACCGTCTCCTGCTCCAAGCGTGGAGCTGGGGCTAGTGGTCCCACTGTAACTTCAAGATGGGGCCTGAGCAGCAAGAAGTGGGGGTCCCAGAGAACTGACCTTGGTGGAGAAGGAGTCATACTTTTCCAGCACCTGGCTGCAGCTACTTGTCTTCAGTTCCTCCACCACCTGGGCATTGGGCAAAAGGGAAGGTGGACATGTTGATGAGGGGCACTTTCATCAGAACTGAGCTCCCACCAGTGCTTATGCCATCGCCCCACTTGTCTAGTGGGCCCCTCCAGGCTCTATGCTCTCCTTTCCCTGCTTTGAACTGTGTTTGTTTCTGAGTCTTGATTTCTAAGCTCTGGGTCCCAGGGGTGTGGGGTTCTGTTATTGGAAACTTCTCCAGTAGTAAATTATGAGGTGTGCAAAGGAAGAGATTAGGCTTCCCGTATAAACCTGGGAGTTCTAGGAGAAGGGCAGTTTACCCCCTTGATCCTGGAATGGGCACGCTTCTACAGGCTTAATATGTTTATGCATGTTGCTGGGTGGTGCAAATGATTAAATGCTAGATCTCTAACTCACCCTGGTGATCTGCTGCCAAAAGCCTTGTAACTCTGCACACTTGGTGTTGCTACAAGTCAGAATTCACAACAACAACAACAACAATCAGGGGAGCTTAGGACCCCTGGATCCCTATTCCAGAGAGGGTGGCTGTCAACAGGGATGAAGAGTCAGGGAACAAAGTGTTTTCAGAGTTGAATAAATATCAACTTTGAGAGAGAGAAGGTGAGAAATGTGCCCCAGTAGGGCCTGACCTCTTTTTCCCTTCTCTACCGCGTATGTATGAGGAGGATTATAACCCCAAGCCCCCATCACAGACACTACCCTTCCTGCTTTCCACACTCATTTAATCTTCTCTGCAAACTGAGTCTCCACAAGGACCTTCATTTTACAGAAACTGGGGCACAAGAAGGGTGTGTATTTTGCCCTGGGTCACCCAGGGAGAAGTGCAAGGGACAGCATTTGAATGTAGAATCTGTGTTTTAAATTACCCCACCTTAAGTCTGGGTTTACCCTGATGGTTTTAAGGGGAACTCTTTGTTTTCGGTGCAATCGCTGGTGGTGGTTGAATCCATTGTTATGAACAGAGCCCTGCTGGGAGGCTGACCTTGTGTGAGGAAGGCTGATTGAGCATTTGAGATTGGTGGTCATGGTGGGGATGGTTGGATGGATTGTGGGAACACAGTGGTAAGATGGAGAAAGAACCTCCTACTGGTATGGTCTGGGGTTCATGAGGGTGGGCCAAGTCCTTTCATGAGAAAGGAGGGGACGATAAAACCGAAGAAGCTGAGGTGCTATCAATGACTTACCAGTGGTGACACCACACTGGGGGGACCCTGTACCCCACTTTCACTCACCTTCCTCAGTGACTGATCAAACAACTGCTCTGCAGTCTTCCCCTTCTCGTCTGCTCTGACGGGGTAACCCAGCAGGTGGGGGTTGGCCTGCATCTCTCCCGTCTTCCGCCGAACCCCATTGACCAACACCCAGGTCTGGAGATTGGAGCGGCAGAACTCCCCAAGTTGCAGCCCAAACCTCCTGATGAGTTCTCTGGAGAGCCTGTAGGAGGAACCAGAGAGTGCTGGGACAGGATAGGAAGCTGCCCACCCTCCCTACCTGGGCTCACACCCAAAATCCTTGGAGGAGGCAGCCGACAAAGGGGACCATCTCGGCCCCCTTGAGGATTCACTGGTGCCATTAGAATTACCCGTTGATCTACATCCACAGACAAGACCTGAGATGTCTAGGTCACCATGCTAATGGGAGCAGGGCTCGTCACACCTCAGCCGTTTTCTGATCCTACCACACCAGGCTACCTCCTCTGTGCTGGCCCCATTTAAGCATCCAGAGCACATTTTGCCTGAAATCTCTGGTCTCCAGGTTGCAGCCATTCTGAGTGTGAAGATGGTGTGAAGGGTGCCCAGGGGAACCTTCCTGGACTTCTCCTCCCTGGGGCCTCTCAGTGGGGTGCTCTGAGACCCTTGCTCAGGGTCCCCTCGACAGGAACTCCCCTGAGCGGCAAAGCTCCATACCCATTGTGGGAACCCTAGGTCTCCCACAATCACACCTGGGCTTCGCAGAAACCACAATTCCCTCCACAAAGAGGTTTCATTACTCCTGTCATTACCAACCATCACAATGATCCCTTACCAAAGAAACCACGCGTGACCTTTCAAGGGATTTTTATAACCCCAATTATCATTCATGATCCTCTAAATAGCCTTCCACACAGGTGGGATAGATACGGCGGTGCACATGAAGCAGATTTAAAAAGTGAACCTGGGAGAGTTTCGGGGCTAGACAGGGAGCCACATAATGAGTTAAGGCAGATTTGGGACCAGATGAAAGGCCTTTCACAGTAGGCCAACACCCTAGTCTAGGAAAGGATTCTGCCCCTCCCATGATGACCTTCTTTCCCCTTTCCTCCCTTACCTGTGGTTGGCAGGGATTCTCATGGCTCCCAGTTCCACATACCACTGTGCTCCAGGTACACGGTGTGTCTCGATTCTGCCACCCACACGCCCCGAGGCCTCCAGGACAGTTACCTAGAAAAACACTTCCTGGCTTCAACAGAGCCAGCCCTGTCCCCTCCACAGTCTCTTCCCCCCATAGAGGTCCAGCTCCCCCAGCCTTCTCTGGGGCTTTCCTTTTTATAAAAAAAAAAAAGGGCCTTAGAGCCTAATTGTCAAATCACTGGAATCTCCTAGTCCTTCTATCCCTCCCTAATACCACCCCTGCCCTAGCTCATGGAGGTTGTCCCACTCAGCTCTCTCCCCTCTTCCTGCTTAGGGATGACCCATCCATTGCCATATCCTACCTGGTGGCCTGCATCCTGCAAGGTCTTGGCAGCAGTGAGCCCGGCCATGCCTGCCCCAATCACCACGATTCGCTTTCTTTCCACTGTCTGCCCCAGGCCGTCTCTCGCCAGCCGTACCAGTTCTTCATACTGGGGATCTTCGAAGCACTTGACCAGCTGGCTGTTGAAGGTCTGCGTGCGTGGGCTCAGTAGAAACAGGAGCACGAGGACCAACCACCCTGGGAACATAGCTGTGGAAATGGTAGTCGGGCAAACAAGTGGGAAGTCAAGGAAGCTCAGGCTGGGCTAAATGCTTGTTGTGAGGAGAGTTTGTGTCATTAGGCTTGTGATGCAAGAATATCCCGAACTCCAGATGGCTTTCCTCCCATGCTTAAGGGCACTTAGTCAAGGGTCCGGCTAGACTTGGCCTTCCCTGTGGGTCAGTGCTATCATCCCTACTGAAGGAGTCATTCCAGGCTGGCTACCTGCCCAAGCAGCTGGCTCCATAGAGGGCTATCACTCTGAGTGACTCCATCGCTCCCCCTTAGGGTTAATAGACGTGTAGTCTTTATGGTTGCTTCAGCGTTCCTGGGTAGAACACCTCACAGATAATTTAAATATTGGAGGTTTGACTCTACCGAGAGTCACCTCAGAAGACCTGAAATCTACTTCTGAAATATTCCCGCTATTGAAGGCTCTCCGGGGCACAGTCACACATGGGGTTGCATTGAGTCATGGTTGACTTGGCGGCAACTGGAAGACCCAAATTGCCAGAACCTGTACATAAGGATGGAGGGTTTAAAGACGTGGTTTGAAAGTAAGGCCAACAGGAACCAAGAAGTGCACGACAGATGACAACATTCCCCAGCCCCGGGGAGATATCAGATTTTATACTTTTCAATCTGGTGGTAATTAGAACTCAGCAGCCTCATTTTCCAGAGAGAGTTGAGGCTCAAGCAGGTTAAGAATGTGCCAGGTGTTGAGCCTGCACTTCCAGTGCCTTCTAAGCAGGGTTCCACCTCATTCTCCTTGTTCATTTTCTACCAATCTCCCGGAGAAGGATGTGCTATAAATCTCCTTGGTGCTATTTATTCCTGATAGGGCCTGATGAGAAGTCTTTTAGTATTGCTGTTTTATTATTTTTTAAGCGAACATGTATCTTTGTGTCCCTGCCCATAGTGCAAACATTGAGAGGCGCTGGCCTCTGGCCTAACTCACCTTTTAAAATATGCACATTCAAACAGATACTATAGAAATCTGCTTGTATTCTTTATTCCAGTCTCAGGATTTATAGGAATATTTAATGTAGGCCGTCTTTCTCCCTTCACTTACAATCAAGAAAAAGCAGTGGCATTATAGAAAAAGGAAAAATAGAGGGACAAACAATTTGTAATCCCTTCTATATTCCTATTTTCTTTCTTAAGTATAACCACCCACTCTCCCATGTTAGTCACTCACCACCGTTGTGATATCTTTCATTCTGGCAGGAAGCATAAAACACATTTTTCAATTTCCTGCCTTCTTCACTTCAAACCAGAAATCAGTCACTTCTCAAAAAGCCTAGTGCACAGAGAGCAGCTAACACACTGTGCTGTATGAAGGGGTGGAGGGAAGAACAGCTTACCAGACACATCTGTGGATGACTGATGGGCAAGTGAAGGTAGAGGAAGCCTGGTACCAGGAAGAACACACGGACAGGTGCTCCAGGGCCTCCTTTGATGGCCCCTTTAATGCATTGCACCATTCATTCCAGGTTAAGGACAGTGTCTCTCTGACCCTTCACTGTACCTTTGCCCTGTCTCTGGCAACCTTACTCATTACCTCACTGCTTCAACAACCTCCATCATAGAACAGGGAGGCATTGAACCTGTATGTCTAGTTCTCTAGTTCCTTTAGCTATATACACACACTGTTATGGATTGTATTGTGCCCACTCAAAATACGTGCTGAAATCCTAATTCCTCTACTTGTAAATATAGTCTTATTTGGAAGGAGGGCTTTGCTTTTGGTACGCTAGTGAAGTCATCCTAGAGTGGCATGGTTCTGTACCTTATCCCTTCTGAGTTATTCAAAGAGCAGAATAGACCGAGAGATGCACGCAGAGCAAAGATGCCCTTTGAAGACACATGGTACACAGGAGTGAGACAAGCCCAGAACCTCTCAGGAATCTTGACTACCAGATTCTACTAGAAAGAGACCAAAAAGGGCCTTCCTATAGAGCCACACCCTGAATTTGGACTTGAGATTTCCTCAACTGGGAAAAATTAATGTAGGGCTTTACGGTTACCCAAGTGTGGCATTTAAGTCACAGGAGTACTAGGTAATCTCTCTCTCTCTCTCTCTCTCTCTCTCTCTCTCTCTCAAACTCTCTCTCTCACACACACAATTCAGAATTCAATCTTTTCCCTTTCTCAAAAGTCTTCTCTTCACCTCTTCTCTCTTTAAGTAATAGGACTGTCATGTTATCCCTTCCCTCATTTAAATGAGAAAGTGGAATTGAGAGGCCTGGAGGGTGAAGGGAATGTGGGCTAGCAGGGGGGAACCAATTACAAGAATCTAAGTATAGCCTCCTCCCTGGGGAAAGGACAGCAGAGAAGAGGGTGGAGGGAGATGTCGGACAGTGTAACTTATGACAAACTATAATAATTTATGAATTATGAAGGGTTCAGGAGGGAGGGGGGAAGGGGAGGGAGGGGGATAATGAGCAAATGATATTGAGGGCTAAAGTAGAGGGCAAATGTTTTGAGATTGATGAGGGCAACAGGTGTACATATGTGCTTGACGCAATGGATGGATGTATGGACTGTGATAAGAATTGTATGAGCCCTCAATAAAATAATTTTAAAAAAAGAAAGAATAATGAGGGTAACAAATGTATAAATGTGCTTTATACAATTGATGTATGTGTGGATTGTGATGAGTTGTATGAGCCCCCAATAAAATGACTTTAAAAAAAAAAAAGAGAGCTAAACATTCACCAGCCTCACTGCTAAGGAGCATTCTGGTTGTACTTCTTTCAACACAAACAGACTCCTGATAGACCATGGTATATTTAATATTCTTCACTAACACTACAATTCAAGTATTATCAATTCTTCTCTGTCTCCCTTATCTATTGTTCAGCTTTTCATGCATATGAAGTTCATGAGAGTGCCATTGCTGGGTCAGGTGCACCTTTTGTCCTCAAGGTGCCATCTTTGCTTTTAAGAAATCTTTGGCAGCAGATTTCTCCAAAGAAATATGTTGATTGTGTGCATAAGCAAATGTGATGAAGAAAGCTGATGGTGCCCAGCTATCAAAAGATATAGCATATAGGCTCTTAAAGGCTTGAATATAAACAAGCAGCCATCTAGCTCAGAAGCAACAAAGCCCACATGGATGAAGCACACCAGCCTGTGTGATCATGAGGTGTCGATAGGATCAGGTAGTAGGCACCAAAGACCCAGAACAAAAAATCATATTATTGTGAATGAGGGGGAGTGAGGAGTGGGGACTCAAAGCACATCTGTAGACAATTGGACATCCCCTTGTAGAAGGATCACAAGGAAGAGAGGAGCCATTCAGGGTGCAGTATAGCATCAAATACAACTTTCCTCTAGTTCTTTAGTGCTTCCTCCCCCCCCCCCCCCCCAC